TTGAAGAACTTGGACAACTGCAGCAGAATATGGAGCTAAAAATACCCATATTCGGTTCTCCTCGAAGAGTTTAGAGGGGAAGGTAAAGATGCTTTAAGGCTTGACAAGTTAAGACAGCCCGACATAGCAATTTATAGATTAGAAAGATGACTATTTGTTCTGCCAACAAGCTTCATGCCCCTCCCGCCGTGTGAGTGAGTCTGCAAAATTGGAAGTAGAGTGGTTTTTCTCGACCTTCTCCATCCTGGCTCAGGATGAATGCTGGCAGCATGCTCAATATATGCAAGTCGGATGGGAAGTGTTCCAATATCACGATCTTATATAGAGGAATAATGGATTTATATGGCATTGGAATTGATAGGTTGCTGATAGCACATGAAGGTGAACTATGAAAGAAGGCATGTAACCATAAGCTAGAATGCAAAGTAGCAAAAATGACATTATCCAAATTTAAGACAATTTGCATGATCGGTGTCCAGATTTTAGTGAACGGATGTCATATACTAATTGTACAATTTTGATATGTTGGTAAGCTCATCAATGAACTCTTCAAAAATTTCTTTCAAGCAAGCAAGTTGAGATCTTTTTTCCTATTTGATTGTCCCACCAATAAAATAACATGATCCAGACTTGAAAAATAGAACCCGGTCCCAAAATTCATTTTTGTCTCCCAATTCTAAAGTGAATATGAGATGGATAAAATAGATGACATGAATTTTTGTTTCCACTATGTCCACTATAAATAAACTTTGTGACTTGGTTGTTGAGAATTTGTTTGTCGTTTCAAATCACACTATTGAGTAAAAAGTTGAATGGATAAGAAACATAGGGCTCTCGTCAATACCAACTTAGGATGTTCCTATTTATTCCGATGACATTTTATCCATTTACCTAATTTTATTTTTTTAGCATTTTAATGTATTTGACAGTGAAACCTAGAAAATGATAACCATAACTGGTGATAAATTGCATTACTATTAGGGTACGTTTGATTGCAAAAATAAAATTTGGATGGAAAAAATTTTTTCCAGGGAATTGAATTGACTAGAAATTATTTTCCTGGGAATTATCAAATTTTTGTGTTTGATTGCTATAATTTTCCATGTGGAAAATGTTGAAATAAAAATATTTTTTAGTGTTCGTTTGACTTTATTTTACATGAAAATTGTCAATTAAAGGGATAAAATTCACTAGTATTGGGGATGAAATTTGTTTTCATTGCCAACAAAAAAATCAAGGAAATCATCTATTTTTTTGTGTTCGTTTGGCTTTATTTTATATGAAAATTGTCAATTAAAGGGAAATATTTTTTTTTACAATGATTCTTAAAATTTGTTTTCCAAAAAAAAAAAAAGGAAAAAAAATTGGTAAGTTGAAAATTGAATTATCACCATTTTGGTGAGAATTTAAATTCCTCAAAAACTGGGAAATTGTCTACGTGGCCAAGAAAAGTGGAAAAGGTTTTTCATGGAAAAATTGTCCTACCAAACACCACAAAAGTTGAAAAATCTTAAAGTGGAAGTTGGTATTCGAATTTCAAGTTCCATGAAAAATTTCGTGCAATCAAACTGGCCTTAGTTATTTTCCATTTTCCATAGAAAATCTTTAGCAATAGTATTCCCATCCTTCTATTCATTTTTACTCACTTTCAACGTGCAGAAATACTTAATTAAAGACCAACTTAAAGAAATGTAGAAAATAAAGTCTATTATAGTAAGAGTTAAATTCTTTCTCCTTAAAATGAAATTGTCCTGCGTCAGTGATTGCAGTTTGCCTATAAACATAGTAATAGTATCACTCCAAATTATATGGAAAGTTTTCGTACAAAGAAATTATGTAAAACAATTAAAATTCCAGTGTAATACCTCTTCTGAAGGTTTCACATACACAGCATAACTTCTATGATTTTAGTGTTGATGTCTAATTGAAGTTTGGATTTATATGACCGACAAGAAAGTAAAGTATCTTTACACAACTGGGAAACAGCCTAATTTTCCTATTTGTAATGATTAAAATTCATATTTTAATTTAAATCAAAATTAATAATTAATTTCAACCATATATTTTATGGATTTCATAATTTTTTAAGCATACATTTCATCATTTTTTTATTAAAAATTATTAAAAATTAATTTTGACTGTCACTATAATTAATTTCGACTGTCACTATAATTAATTTCAACCATATATTTTACGAATTTCACAATTTTTTTAAGCATACATTTCATCATTTTTTATTAAAATTTATTAAAATTTGTTTTTGGATTAATATTTTCCTTATTTGAGCCACGTTGTATTCCAAAAAATGTATTTTTGAATAATATATTGATAAGAAATGTGTGGTTAAAAAGTAAAGAAAAGTTTTATATTCACGTGTAATATTATTTTATTAAAAATGTGAGATTAAAATAATGTCAAATCGCTGTTTAAAAATGTATTTTTTTTTAAAAAAAAAAATTGGCTCAAACATAGCAATTTTGAGTACAGTACCTTCAATCACTTGGAGAATATAAATGGTCAAACATTGCGGCTTTGTCAATATTAGTTTCTTTTTAATCTCTTTTTCAGTATGAATGTAAACACTAGGAGGGTTCCATGACCCGTCCTATTCCTCGTCATGTTTTACCAAATTAAAACCCAATAAAGCTCAGGACAAGACACTGATTTTAGTGCATTCCAACAAAAAATCAAAAATTACAGATATTTTTGTTCTTTTTTTAGGCCCTTTTGTTACTACCTCAATTTTAGCTTTTCAACCCTCTTTATAAATAGTTTTTAATTGATCAATGAGTCTATTAATTGATTTATGAAATTCATAATTTATTCAAAGAGTTGTTTCCTTCCGATTCGATTTACATAATTATATGACTATTACACAAATTCTCAATTATAATCAATTAGCAATTTTATTCACATTTATAACAAAGCCCTGCAAAACCAAATAAACTTAAAAAATGAATACGTGGTTAAATTTTTTTATTTTTTTGAATATTTATAAACTATAGGTTTGAAATATATTATTTTATTCGAATATTTATAAATTATAAGAAAAATAGGGTTGAACTCTCTAACCTCTTACGTTGTGTGATTATTAATCTTCAACCAATTAAAGTTTATAACTATGAATCTTCACGTGACTGTCAGAAACCTTCAATTTGGAAAATAAAAACATATGCGACCTTCATGTGATTAAAGCTAAAGTCATGCAATTTTAACGTCTATATAGGTAGTTTCAATTAGGTACTTACATGAAACCTAAATTCAAATGTTAATTTAAAATGTTAAATTACTCTCTCATTTCTTTAAAAATGTTACTCAATGTATTTATAACTTAGCCCATGTTTGAACCTTACTCATACATTCTCTTAATAAAATAACTTTATGTGCAAATTTAAAATAACTTATTACTTTTTATCACATATTATTCAAAAAATCATTATTACAAAATCTATTTCCACAAAAAATAAACACAAACATAGCCTTGATTACTTATAACTTCTCAAACATAATTACTTAGAACTTCTCAAATATAGCCTTAATTACTTAGAACTTCTTCAAGGGACTCTCTATTTTAAAAAAAATATATTCTATCATTTGGAGAGTATCTATTAATTTAGAAAAATAAAATTTTGAAGTACTTTAACAAATTTTTTATATTTAACACTTAATTTTACTACTCCAAAAAATATTTATTATTTTACTGGAATTATCCCATTATTTTATTATTTTCTTATTATGGTGGAGGTGAGTGAGGAAGAAAAAGATAATTTTTCCTTCATTTTTCTTAATTTTACTACTCCAAAAAAATTTATTATTTTCTTGCAATTTTACCATTATTTTATTATTTTCTTATTATGGTGGACGTGGGTGAGGAAGAAGAAGATAATTTTTCCTTCATTTTTTTTTTGGTTTTTGATTTAAGTTTTTAATTATTTTATGGAAAAAAATATTAAATTACTATTTTGCCCTTTTAAAATTTAGTAAATGTGGTCAAAATTAATTTTTTTGGATCAAATTCACTTTTATAGGTCAATTAATAGTAAATTCGACAGATTTCATTCAAAAGGGTTTCAAATGCAACGTTTTAAAAGCTTTGAGGTGATGACTGCAATAAATGAAAGGTTAGGAGAAAGTCTATTAATATTTAAAATGTTTAGAACTTTTACTACAATTATCCCATTATTTTTTTATATTAAAAATTGAATTTTTTTGAATTTATTAAATTATAGCTCTCTAAATTAAAATTTTAATTTGAAAAGTCTTTGAAAATATAATTATAGCGGTTGACCTTTAAAATAGATAGTCAAAGTTTGAACAAATTTTTTATTGGCATTTATGCAGATTATTCTCCCCACTGTTTACTTGTTAGGGCTTGAATAGGTCATGGAAGAAGCGGGTTTTCCGGGGGAGGTACTTTGGTGAAGTGATAACTGTCAGGCCCTCGTAACCAGGAGTTACAAATAAAGGGCCGTTTGGTAGAGATTTTGAGAATTGATTTTTTGAACGTTAAATGAAAAGTGGGGTTCACATGTGAGAGAATAAATCAAAAATTACGGCTTGAATAGTAAAATAACGGTCAAAAAATTAATTTTTTGGAGTAAAAAATTCCTATTAAACGGGGCCAAAATAAAATATGAAAAAAGAAAAATAGAATTTTCTACTATTGTAGATGATGATCTAACTGTTTATAAAGTTTTGATTTGAATGCAAATAGTATTCCATTTACTGTGGTGTTGCACCACCCTAACCATGCATCGCCTGCTCAATTTACATTTCCGTACGTAATATACCTTTTTTAAGGGATTCTCAGCTTACTTTAAACAGTGTTGAATTTTCTCTGTACTATAAAGAATAGTATTCCATTTCCATCCACTCACCGTGGTTTTCCATCGCCACGACCAGGTGTCGCCACCCTCCATCGACGCCGTACGTAATATACCGCGTTTTAAGTCCTTTTTAAGGAGAGTGATAATTTTTCTCTTTACTGTGATACTTTTTTTTTTCCGCATCTTTTATTTACTTTAATTTGTGAAATTTTGGAAAACTCGCACACTGTTGTACATTTTGTACGTTTATACAGAGACCCCTTTCTCAAAATAATCCAAAATTGTTGCAAGGTGCTAAAAAGAAAAAGTTGAAAACCCCAACAATTATAGTACACTTGAGCACTGAGCCATGAACGCACCTAGAACAAGAAGAACAGGAGTAACACCTGTGAAAAAACACCCAAATTTGGCAACAAAAGAGTGAAAACTCAGAGAAAAATAAAAAAATAAAAAAATTCCCAACAGGTACAAGATTTGAGAAAGTTCACAAGATTTCCAAATTTTTCGTCTTTGACCCAGAGAAAGAAAGGACGAGGTGACTATTGTTAAAACTGAGTGGCCTATTCTTGTCATGATGAGAAGAGAAGAATCTGAGGGAGGAAGCAGTAGGTGCCAAGACTGTGGAAATCAAGCTAAGAAAGATTGTGAATATTTGAGGTGTAGAACTTGTTGCAGAAGCCGAGGTTTTCAGTGCCGAACTCATGTTAGAAGCACTTGGGTTCCTGTATCAAGAAGGCGGCCAAGACATCAGCAGATGCAAATTTCCTCTATTGTTCAACAACAGCAACTCCTTGGACAAAACCCTAAAAGATACAGAGAGAATCCGGCAGTAGGTACTGTATATTTCACACTGTACACAGATTTACAGATCCACAAACACAATACATATGTAAGCTTGAACAATTGAACTACGTAGTCAAAGTGTATAGTTCACAAACCCTAGAGCCTGCAGTTTTCTACAGTGTGCTATAAAACCATAACCAGTGTTCTAGATGTACTTTAAACAACACAAAAATCTTAATCTCTGTATACTTTAGATTTTAAGCATCCAGAGTTTTATTTTTAATGGGTTTTTCTTAGTTTGATTATTTTATGTGTTTTTATGTAAATCAGAGCTTGAAGAAGGGAATTTTCCGTCGGAAGTGAGTTCTCCGGCGGTGTTTAGATGTGTTAGATTGAGCACGACCGACAATGCGGAGGATCAGTATGCATACCAAACATCAGTGAACATTAGAGGACATGTATTCACCGGCATTCTTTATGACCAAGGCCCTGATGGAACTTATGTTGCCGGAGAAAGCTCTTCCGGTGGCTTGCAGCACC